CCCCCCTCGTCCCTTTGCTTGGTCACTACGGCAACAATCCCACGCAGTCTGTCCGTCACATGGTCGGCATGGCAACCTGCATCCTGCTCCCCGGTTGCCGGTTGCTAGGAGAAGCGGAGCGACGCAGGAGGTCAGCGCTCGTCGCTCCGAGGGGACAAAAAAAACATGAAGTTCCCACAAAGTGTTCTCGGTCCTGAAGGTTCGTGCGATGAAACACTTGGTCTCCGTCTCTTAGCGACGACACGCTCCAGAAAAAGTCCCTGAACTGAAGGATTCAAACCGCAAACGAAGCTCACGGCTGTGTTCGGTGCGTCCGGCTGAGGTTGATGATCGGAGGAGAAAGAAACTGATGACGAACTTCACTCGTGGACGGCTCGCCGCCCTCCTTCCTCCTCGCCGACCTCTCAGCCAATCAGGAGGTTGAACAGAAAAGGTTAAAGGAGGATGTCGGCCTGCTACCCATGATGCTCCACCTCCAGCTACACGCTCCGTACAAACCCCGATGCTGCCGCCGCCGCCTTACGGCGCCTCGTCCTGCTTGCTGCTCTGCTTCTGCGGCTCCGGCTGCTGGGCGTTCCCGCCGCCGCCGCCGTTCTTCTTCTTGCTCGACTCTTTGACGCTGCTGCTGGACTTGGAGGTCGAGGACGAAGAGGACGTGACCTTTAGGCTCTTGGACGTCTTGGCGCCGCGGGTCTTCTCCTTGCTGGCGGTGTCCTGGGGCAGCGTGGGGCTGGAGTGCGCCCTCTGCAGGCCGCCGTCGTCAAACAGCCGGGACTCGAAGGCCGACAGGTCCTCGTCTCCGCTCGACAGCTTGGCTCGAAGCAGCATGGCGTACGTACCGTAACGGGTTTTCTGTGGAAGGAAACGAAGACGAGAGACGGTGAGCGATGCATTCAGGGTCTGCGGTGAGTTCAGGGTCTGTAGTAACAACAGGACAGTCGATGTCTGTGTTTAGTTTGCTTTTGACCCTGACGTGTTCTACAGCGACAGGAACAGGAGGAAACATGGACATTTTTTTTCCCACCTCATCCTTGTGTAGAGTTTTCTTAAACCATCATCTTCTGTATATAATGTTTTCTTTTGCAGCCCTGCCTGTGTGTTTCTAAATCACTCCTGTACTGAATTTACACTGTTTCTGTGACGGTGAACTTTCCCCACGGTGGGATCAGTAAAGTTTGTCTGATCTTCTATTCAGATTAAAGGGCAGTGAAACGCTGCGTCGGGACTCGAGCAGCTCGGCGTCGGTCGGTGAAATGGCGAGCAGGAGAAGCAGCGAACAGCAGCTCGGTGTTCCTGCCACACTGCGTTCGACACCACACGCTGATTCAGCGCCAGTTTGCGATGATGAGGACGAGCAGAAACAGAAGACAGAAGGAGCTTCAGCCTGTCGGCGGCTACGCTCAGACCTCGGAGGTTTCTACACGAGTCGAGCTGCACGATGTCGAACTCATAAATGACTCCGAGGTGTCAGAAGCAAACAGACTGATGTGACTTCGTCGTTCATGTTTGGTGGTTTCAGAGGCCGTCGTGTGTTTCAGTCAAAGTGCAGATTGTTTGCTGCTTTTAGTCGTTTTTTTAAAATACACAAGCGGCAAGAATGAGTCCATATGAGGAGCGTTAACGACTAATTAGTAATTAATAATTGCTGTTATCAATTAAAAATATATAAACCAATAAGGCAGGAGACAGAGGACGTGCATGTCAGACATTAATTATGAATTAGCTGTAATACCTGTTTGCACCACCAGGTGGAGTCTCTTACTGTCATTTTGTCAGTGTAGGGCATAATGTAGGATTAATCAGCAGTTGATTGATGATTTTGCTAATTACTGGGTAAGAAAATAATTTAAAAATTGCTCCTCTACTAAATATAAAAGAGAGCAAAGAAAAAAGAGAAAAGATAAAAAATAAAAAATCAAGAATCAAGAATCAACAATTTACCATTACCCTCAGAAGGCTATGGGCTAGCCTCAGGATGCTACATACTAGCCTAAGTATGCTAAATACTAAGCCAAAGATGCTAAATACTAGCCTAAGGATGTTATTCACTAGCCTTAGGATGCTAGTCACTAGCCTATGCTGTAGTCTAGCCTAAAGATGCTTGGCATTAGCCCAGGGATGCTAGCAAGTAGCATCCTTCTACTTGAGGAACATGCTCAGTGCAGGTGTTGTGCTTGTAATGGAGTAGATGTACAGTGTGGTTTTAGTAACTTTACTTCAGTAAACATCTGAGTACTTTGTCCTCTGCAGCTTCTATAAACAGTCTAAAGTATTTCTAACTGAAAAACTTGAGCAGCTCTACTGAATGAAGCCTGCATAGGAGCAGGTGTGTGAACCTCCTCACCTCGAACTCCAGGTACTCCTGTCGCAGCTTCTGCTCCTCCAGCTCGCGACCTTTCACCTTCCGGTCCGGCGTGGAGGCCGTGAGGTCGGCCAGCTCGGAGGAAACCGCCCTGAACCGGTTCTCGTGAGACTTGACCTGCTCCTCCTGTCGGGACACGAAGCTGATCAGGGACTGAAGGATTGTGGGTATAATCACCTGACCGATGAACAGACTGAGGGCTGAACACCTGGCGGAGGAGTTGGTACCTGCGACAGCTTGGTGTTGGATCCCGGCAGCAGAGGACGACTGAACCTCTTCTGGGAGCCGATCGCCGCCGGGAACGGAGGAGCCGAAAACATGGCCGCCACCACGTTGATGCGCGTGATCCACGACTGCATCTGCTCCGCGTTCCTGCAACAAACACGGAAACAGAAACTGAACCGGAGCGACGATGGCTCAACTTTATTTATAACATCTAGTGAAAGACAAACAGCAAAGAAGAACATAAAGAGCAGAGGTTGGTTCTTACGGAGCCTGGAACAGGAACACCCTCCAGTCGGCGGTTCTCAGGTAGAACACGTTGGGCCTCTTGCTGTAGTCTGCAGCCCTCATGGCCAGAGAGTGATGGATGGACACGGCGTTCTTCACGTCGTCCTCCGTCAGCTCGCGTTCTGCCCGATACTCATCCTGTGGATCGATTCGTTTTCAGGAAGGTTCTCAGAGAACTACAACACACCTGCAGCTGCTGCATCACATTGACTGAATGCAGCTGGAGATGCATCGGACACACTGCAGCTGCTGTTTCATGTTTCTACAGCAGGAGAAATATCCTCTTTCTGTTAATGCGAGAACATTTTAACGCCACCGTGGATACGTTATGAGACCAAACCAGTCAACCTGTCTTTGGCCTCGAAGCATAAACGTAAAGAAAAAAGTTAACAGCAGAGAAATGTGTAACTTAAAACTTTAAGCCTTTAAAATCTTAAAGTATCCTTCTTATTCTTATTTAATTTCTAATTGATTTTAAGTGTGTGAATGTGTTGATAAAATGAAAGTAAGTAATTCAACAAATGGCTGCTCAGAACCGAGACGACGGATCAGAGAGTCTGACCTAGATGGGTTTCCCTCCTGACCAATCAGATTAATTGAAAAAGGAAGCTTTAATCAGCATTAGCATAAACGTAAACCTACGGGCGTAATTCCTCGGCCTGATGTTTTCAGGAATCCAAAGTATTAATCACATCACAATATGTTCAATAAATAGAGCTCAGAAACACTCGTTAACCGGCGACATGAGGCTGTTTGGTTTAATGAAGCCGGATAACCACAATGTGTCCCGGCTGTACAGAGCAAAGGCTGCTGGGAAACGCAGTCCACATGTTTACCTTCTGCAGGTAGAGAACCAGACCCTTCAGCATGGCGTAGAAAGACTTCCAGCCCCTCTTACCCCGCGGCGCTGCAAGAAGCAAGGCATTGTGGGTTATTACACACGAGCACAGAGCAGGCAGGAGATCAGACGTCACAAGTCAGGTCCAACGTTTAGCATTAATCTGAGAAATAATCCTGAATGAAGAAACACAGTTCTTGGTTTTTTTTAGCACCTTAAAACTTAATATGTGAAGTAGAAGTTTATAAGTGTTGCTGTTGTTCTGTAATTAATTAAAATATCTTCTAAAACTGAAGCACTTCACCTCTAAAACCCCAAATAATCGGAGTTAGAGGTTGTCTTTTAGCGTCTCCCTTTGACGTAGGAAGCTAAATGTTCCACAAATTGGAAGAAGCAGCATAAAAAACAGAAATGTATTCATTCATTTCTGTATTGTGTCGCCTATGTCAACTGTGTAAGAACAATCTGAGAGCTTTAATCAGATCAAAAGAAAAGGAAAGCAGGTCATTTGGACGGATACAAACTGGTTGTTGTTGTTTTTATCAATACAGTCAGATACAGCGTCAATACAACACAAGGATTACAGATGAAGAGGAAGACGAGATAAGACGAGGAGGAGGAGTCGTGACGTACTTCGTTTTCCGTCGGGGTCGGCGTGGACTTTGCGGACCAGGAAGCCGCTCTTGTAAAGCTCGCCGTCGGCCTGCTGGGCGACGCCCACCAGCGGGTTTCCACCACTCCCGAGCCTCTTCATGGTGTGGGAGGCGGAGTCTGTTCGGACGTCAGCCAGCTCCGACATGGACTTCCTCAGCTCCTCCTCATCGCTGCAGGAGGCGAGAGACAAAACTTACGCATTGTACGTTTTTTTTAGTCTTTAATTATAAATAATTACTTCCTGCAGTTGATTTCATCCAATCATCTGGTCCGATCGTCTCATCAACGTCTCACCATCTTTTCTCATCACATGCGACCTCATTAAATCGTTTTAAACGCCCTCTAGTGGTCGTGTAACACCACAGTCTCACCAAATTCACCCAAACCACGCCTGTTTACATCCAGCACCCTCCAGTGGCTGCAGTAAATATGACAGGAACAGAGAAGGAAGTCTGGTAGGTGTGGTGTAGGGAGGAGGTCGGGGTGGATGAATGGGCCAACAAACCCGACTCTGTGATGCTTCTTTTAGGCATAACTGCATATTTGGAACCTATTCTGGGGTGAAGCTCAAAGACGACAACAAGTGGTGTTTCTCTGGACTCTAAACGGTCTCATCACGTAGCATGTTCGCCTCTCAAACGTTAGAATTCACCATCGACACCAACATAACAAAACTCTATTATTCTGTTTCCTACATGCTCGTAGCACTGGAGTTATGTCCAATAAGTTCTCTTTATCGTTGTTTTGGTTCACACAGAGTTAACATTGAAGCTGTTGGAGCTCACACTGACATGAAGACTAAAAACATTCCCGCCAGGTCCCACCGGCACCAAGCTGCAGCAGTGGACAGCATCCTATTATCCATTATGTCGTATCTCTAGACATCTATATGTCCAATAGGTCACATTTGTACATGTAAAAGATGCAAATCATCTTTATTATATCTTCTTCTTTGGATTCCTTCTGGGCTTCATTTGTATTTAAGCTGCTGTAACCTGAATTTTTACCTGTAAGGAAACGATCAAGGTAACGAGACACCAAGTTGGTGCAGGGAGAAGGTCGGGGTGGATGGATGGGTCTACAAAACCAACGCTCTGTAGTTTATTTGAGCCTTACCACCTGTTTACTGTCTGCGTCCTCTTAGTTTAACAAGGGACTTAAATGAACCCAAACCTCCAAAGCTAACCAAACAAACTGTTTTCCATTGCAGGAACTTGTGGACTGTTTTACGCCAGCCTGAACCTTTGTGTGTGTTCTGACCGCCCTCTTATTTTCAGGGCTGTTTCAACAGGGAGCACTTCAGGACGGGTACTCGTGAGCGGCCCTGGAACACCACTGTGTGGGGCTCAGTGCTGATTAATTAAACTCTGAGAGGATAAAACGTGGTAATATTCTGCCCTCTCAACGTCCTGGTCGAGTAGCCGTCTGGTCCTCTCTAACGTCGCCGTCCACAGCTTAAAACTAACCATATGGGCCGACATGAGAAGCCTCCGTTGGTCTCCTACATGCTCAGAGAACTGGAGTTAGGTCCAGAAGCTATTTGTTCTGGTTCACTGTGATCGAAGCTGTTGGATCCTAAACAGAAAGGCTTAAAGTTCAGGACAACCGATGTTTTCTCAAGCAAAAATATGAAACCGGGATCTGAAACGGCATCTTCGTTTGAGTTCATGTCATCATTTTCTAGCTGCATTCAATCTGTTTAAAATTCATAAAACAAATGAGCTCCTACAGTCTGGTTTTTTTGTTTTCTGAAGTTGGTCACCACCTGGTCCATCATCCCAGAGTGTTTTATGCTTTCCTTACGTTGCCGTGGAGTTATCGCTAAATCAGGCTAAACGTTAGCGGAGACGCGCGGGAAAGCGATCCGAGGCGTTCGGGATAAAGACAGGGCTGAGGCGCGAGGGAGGACAGATGCTGAACGAGACGCCCCGACTGCGCACACATTTACTGTACGTGTGTGTGTGTGTGTGTGTGTGTGTGTGTGTGCGGCAGTCCACGGTGAAGCATGGGCGTTGGGATGCTGACCTGTAATTACAGCGAGGGAAGAAGCAGGGAATGGTTACCGTGGCAACAGAGGCTTAAATAAGGGAGTCGGGGCAGCGGGGACACACACACACACACACACACACACACACACACACACACACCCACACACACACACACACACAGAAACGTGCAGACGGAGCTCCAACACACACACCAGATGTTTGCACATGCTGCGTGTCAAACCTGGAAAGCCAAACTTACATGGTCCACTGCAGCTTCTCGTTCTTGATGGAGCTGTACAGCGTCTGCAGAGACACAAGGCGGCACACGCATGAGACACGCATGAGACACGCATGAGACACGCATGAGACACGCATGAGGCTCACGGAGGACGTTCAGCATGTCAGGGTTTAATATTTCAGGATTGTCCAGGTGCAGAATGAAACGCTCCTCAGTGCAGAAACCAGATCGACTCTCTGTGTGTGTGTTGTGGTCGCAGGCGGCGCAGAGTCGCTAAAACAGACCAACAACATGAAAAACATCCTTCTCTTTATGTCCTGATGCTGATTTATGTCATTTCTTCCCTCACTGAGTTTGTCATTCTGCAGTGCGGTTTAAATGTAAAGTTAGAATTCTTATATAACCTCAAAGAATCCAGCAGTGCTTCATCAAACACAGAGCAGAGCCGACGGTCGCTAACCGAGCAGGAAGAACGGCGGGTAGCCGAGGCAAGAGAGGAAAACCTGAACTCCAGAACCTTTAATTTTTAACAAATCAGCAAAATGAAACTATTTTTAGAGCCAAAACTGTAAAAAACCAAAAAGAACGGTAGGATTTTCAACTTTCAGGCAGTGATCAAAAAGTTCCAGGACTGCCTCTCGCACATGGAACAAGTGAACATATGACAGTAGTAACTATCACGTCACTGGCCATTAACAACTAAACCCGTCTTACAGGGTTGTTTGTTAACCACCTGCGACGCCGTGACTCCATCAGATTCTGCTTCAAACTCTGGAAAACAGCAACAGAGACGCTTGAAATGGTTCAGACGGCTGACGGAGGTGAAACAAGGAGGTGGACGAGATGTTAAACTGGACAGAAAGAAAAAAAACAACGAAAAAGTCACAGAAATCCAGAGCAGTGCTTCTGGACCGTTGGGTAACCAACAGGGAAACTGGTTCCTCGGGTCCAAATGCCTTTTAAACCTGCTTGGGATTGAACAGAGAAGTTTTAATGACACCTTGAGGATTTCTGTGAAGTTTAAACTGTGCTCACTATGTTTATTTTTGTGTTCTGTAATCGTGCATTTCCGGTTTCTACCTTCTTCTTGCGGGTCTGCGGGTGCTGCTGCCCGTCCTGGGTCTTCCCCAGCAGGTCGGGGAAGGCCAGCGGTTTGAGGGATCGCGAGCGAGGGGTTCTGGGATACCTGAACGGGTCGGTGTCCCTCGAGTCCCGGCCGCTCCGGACCGAGCACAGCGACCGCGACCGCATGCGGCCCGTCGAGTGGATGCTGTTCACGCCGATCATCGTGGGTTTGATTTAGTCTTTAGAGAAGATCCGACCAACGAAGGGATTCTTGGTTTTTCCACCACTTCCTGGTTTATGTAGGAGTCGAACCTCTATGTGACCTCCAGATAGTTCAACAATCTCCAGGTGTTCAACAGATATCTCCTTCTTTGACCAGAAACCAGCTCAAGATCGTCAGTTTAGTCCTCAAACTTCACAGGAACTTAGACGTGACTCCAGCTCGCTTTGACGGAGTTCCCAAAATTCAGGCAGGAAGCAGCCGAGGAGACGAGGGCGTCTAAAATAGGAACTGAAGTCTTAACGACGGCTGGACGAACGGGGGCTGGATTGATTGTGTCCTCAGCGGAGCTCAGCCTGCTGCATTATGGATCCATCTCTATTCATTATGCATAAAAACACAGCGGCGCTTCATCCGGCTCATAATCCTGCTGGCTGCCCGCCGGCGACTCGCTCAGGTGTTTGGAGGCAGAACGACAGCAACAACACGGCGACGCTGCCAAACGACATAAAAAACCGTGGACCGAGGCTGGACACAATCTGCTGCAGCATTAATTATTCAACGCCCTTCAAAAGACCATTTTTGTGTTAAAAACAACAACAGACTTTTTCTTTTTTTACACATTCATATAATTCTGTTATATTTGGTTCAAAATGGGGCTAAAAAAACATCATTATCTCACATTAAAGGTCAAAATCTGTCTAAAAATGCAACAGATCAACTATTCTATGTGAAATATTATATGTTAGTGCATCTTCTTACACGTGCATGCTCTATATATCTGTAGTTAGGTTAGTTTAAAGTTAAAATACAACTTTTTACGTGTAACTGTGTAGTTTAGGAGTACAATATGGTTAAAACTTGAGCTACAAACTACTGTTTCCAGTATTTTTGTCACATTAATCGATTAATCACTTTACAAAATAATAAAGAAATTTCATTTACAATTAATTGTAACAAAAAAAAGCAGATTTTTTTTTTCCTGCAGAAAAACAACTGAATCGAGTAAAAATCTGTGATAGAAATGTGTTTAGGAACAAATTCAGATATATTTAAAGTTTGATTTAAATGTCATGTTGTAAAGAAAAATCATTTAAGCATCTTTAAAAATTTGATTTATTACTTGAGGTCCTTTAAGGGGAAAATTTTAAATTGAAAAATATTGTATTTATAGGTTTATACATGCAATATTGTTGTTCAAATGATTTTTTCTTATGTTAATCAATTTATCAGTCAACAAAATGAGAAAGAAAATTGATTTACAGTCGATTCAAACTGAAAAAAGGAGAAAATCTGGATTAGTTCTGCAGGAATTACCAACAAATGACAACTTAAAAGTCTGTTTCAGTCAGAATACGTGACTAATTCAGATATTTACTCTTTGATTGAAAGCATATTTGATTTAGGCATATTTATACAGTTGCTGCTGCAGGATTTTATGACTGAAGATCCTTCAGAAGACTATTTCTGACTGCATACATGGAGTTCTGTGGTTCAAATTAATTTTCCTCACATTGACCAACAATTCAACAATTTGCATCTCAAGCCAAAAAAATGCATTTATACTGAATCAAAATAGAAAATCAGAGATCTTTTTGGGGAAAACAGACTTTCTTCTGCTGTAAATTAGTGAAAATTATTCATATTTTAATATTTGATGCTGTCGGCCGGCTGCCAGCTCGTCCGCCTCCCGCTCGCGTCTCATTAAACAACTCGACACTCCAAACTGTCTGTTACAGTCGAATCCATCAACAATTGGGAAGCGGTGGTGCGTGATTCATCGGCTCACGACGCCAAACCTTCAGCCCAAAAACATCCAAACTCTGGGCTTCTCCGTCTTGTCCCGATTTTGGGGGAAAAAAACCCAAAAAAATCTGTTGCTGTTGAACGCAGCCTCCTGATGCAGCAGCGGCGGCGGCGGCGGCGGCGGTGGCGGTGGAGGTGGTGGTGGTGGTGGTGAAGGAGAATCCCTGGACTGCAAATAAAGCTGCGTGACGGAGGAAGCGCATCAGCAGCACCGGCGGCTCGCATCCAAAAAAGAAAAGAAACAGAGAAGAAGAAGAGCAGGGAGGCTGGGCGAGCGAGCACACCCACACAGGCAGACAGAGAGAGAGAGAGAGAGAGCACCCCAAAACTGACGTCAGCCTCCTCCGGCTCCCTGATGGAGGGATGATGGAGGGATGACGGAGGATGGAGGTACAGAGGAAAAAAGAGGGACGAGCTGATGGGGAGCAGGAAAAAAAGGAGTTTCTCCTCCTGTTGCACTCCCTCCTCGTCCTCCAACTTCGCTCCCACTCTCCTTTTCTCTTCCTCCTTCGCTTGTTGTCGTCCTCCTCCTGCAGGACAATCCCTCCGTCAGGCCAGGTGAGCTCACTCCTCCTCCTCCTCTTCCTATTCTTCTTCTTCAGGTTCTTCCTCCTCCTCCTCCTCTTCCTCTCTGCCGAGACTCTGAACTGTTGAGGACTGTTTGCTCGCTCTCCCTCCTCCTCCTCCTCCTCCTCCTCCTCTCTCTTTTCTCCCTCGCTCTAGCAATGCGCATTTTCTCCCGGCAGCCAATCAGAGGGCGGGGACGGCGGCTTCGGCCCGCCCCCCTGCTCTCCTCGGAGCTGTCAATCACAGAGGAATCACAGAGCTGAATGTAAATGCAGCTGCGAGACGATCGGCAGCAAAAACACTGGAAATAATGATATGAATGCGACTGTAGGGCCTCTGATTACATTCATCCACCGATCTAATGATGGAGCTCAGCCTCTGATTGATCTGCTCAGTTAACACATGCAAAGGCAAAGATCACACAGTCGGTGTTTTTCACCACACGTTTTGTTATTTCACAGAATGTCTGTTTTATATTATATTATTATGTTAAGATAATTAAGCACCAAAACCGAAAGCTGATGCAAATAAAGCAGAAAATGATGAAAAAAAAGACAAATGAATCAGAATGAAATGAATAATGAGCACAGACATGCAAAATGACCAAAAAATGGGGCAGAAAGACGACACAGAGACACAAAACAACCTCGATAAGATGAAAAACGACCTTGAGGAAGAACAAAATGACCCAAAAGAGACTTAAAACCATCACAGAGATTAGAAACCTAGCAGCACAATGACTAACAAAACCACCAAAAATAGACATAACAACTAGAAATAGACAAAAAACTACCACAGAGATCCTAAGCGATAACAAATAGACCTAAAACAACCACTAAGAGATTCAAAACGAACCCAAAGAGAAACGAGACGACCAAAGAGATGCAAAACTTATACGAATGCACGACCACTAAAAGATGCAAGACAACTACAGACAACAATAAAAAGAGACAAAACAGGACCACAAAAGACGCAAAGCGAGAGAAACTTTTTCCTTTCGCTCTAGCCATATGCATTTTCTCTCAGCAGCCAATCAGAGGGTGGGGATGGTGGCTTCAGCCCGCCCCCCTGCTCTGATCAAAGCTGTCAATCACCACAAAGACACAAATCGACCACAAAAACTCAAGAAACAACCACAAAGAGACATAAAACGACCACATATAGACGCAACACAACCAAAGAGACACAAAATAACCACAAAGCAAAGCAAGCAAAACAACTATAAAGAGGCTCAAAGTGACAACAAAGAGACACAAAATAATCAAAAAAAGACACAAAACGACCAAAACAACTCTAAAAACAGAAACTAAGAAACACAAAATGACCACAGAGACACAAAATGACCAGGAAATGACCCAAAAGACCACAAAGACACAAATCGACCACGAAAACTCAAGAAACAACCGCAAAGAGACATAAAACTAAACCACATACAGACGCAAAACAACCACAAAATGACACAAAACAACCACAAAATGACACAAAACAACCAAAAAATGACACAAAACAACCACAAAATGACACAAAATAACCACAAAATGACACAAAACAACCACAAAGGGAAGCAAAACAATCATAAAGAGACTAAAAGTGACCACAAAGACAGACTAAATAATTAAAAAAAGACTAAAAACGACCAAAACAACTCTAAAAACAGAAATGAAGAAATGCAAAATTACCACAAGGAGACAAAAAAAGAAAAGAAAAAGACACAAAATGACCAGGAAATGACCGAAAAGACAACAATCGACCACAAAAACTCAAGAAACAACCACAAAGAGACACAAAACAACCACATACAGACGCAACACAACCAAAGAGAAGCAAAATAGTCACAGAGACACAAAACCAATGAGGACTAAAACAACCACAAAGACACACAAAACAACTATAAAGAGACAAAAAATAACCACAAAGTGAAGCAGAACAACTATACAGAGACACAAAATAACCACAAAGAGTCACAAAATGACCTTAAAGCGACGCAAAATGACCACAAAGACACACAAAACAATTATAAAGTGACACAAAACAACCAGAGAGAATCCTAAAACCACCCAGGAGTGATTATTTTACACGTCTGTTGACCAGCAGGTGTCCTAACCAGCAGCTATGTTTAGATTCTGTTCATCTCAGAACATTTTAGGAAGTTTCTTTGCTATTCAGTTATTATTCAGAACAAACAACGTGAGCACTGAACACGTAAACTGTCCAGAATCGGGACTCGACACCTGAACGTGTCCGCCTCCTTCAGAACCGTGTCCCGAACACTGTGGGCGAGGACGATGACTGTGAGCGACACCCGGAGCAGAACCAGTTGATTTCCTCTGTGGCTGAGAATAATTCATGATTTTCTGTTCTAAATATTCTGCATTGACTGTTTTCTGTGCTGCTCGCAGTCAGTCAGAGCTGCTGCCCACACACTCAGTGCTGCACCAACCAGCAGCCACCCAGCCAACCAGAGCCGAGCAGCAACACACACACACAACACACACAACACACACAACACACACACACACAACGCACACACAACGCACACACAACGCACACACAACGCACACACAACGCACTCAGAGGCAGGAGGATGATGAGGATGATGATGATGATGATGGAGGTGAAGAGGTGACGCAGATTCATGTTGATCACTCGGAGGCTGAGATGGAAAAACTGAGACGGAAACAAAAGAGTGGGAGAGCGACACACACACACACACACACACACACGCACGGCAACACACCGACACAAACGTAACACGACGCACTCAGACGCACACTCGCTCTGCCCGGCGGTCATGAGAAGTGAAATTCATGCAGCAGCTCCTTTTCTCTCTTTCTGGCCTCACAATCACAACAACCCCTGTGAGTGTGTGTTTTACTCATGCTGTGAGGACACACAACTGTACGTACAGTCACACTGAGGGGACTTGACCTACTTCTGAGGACAAATAAGTCCTCATAACGTCAATCATTAAATTCAAGGCTTTACAGTTGACTCCAGAAGATGAAGCGAGCCAACGTCACGCCATCCGGAGTGTGTGTGACGGCGGGTTTCTGCGTTTGTGTGGACAAATCTCAGGTTTAAGGCGCCACATTCAGGACATTCCTGCTTTGTGAGGACATTCGTGCTGGGCGAGGAAATTTCTCCACTTCAAGGACATTTTTGCATTATGAGAACATTTTTGCACTGTGAAGGCATTTCTATATGACGAGGACATTCCTACACACAAGGACATTTCTCTACCAAGAGGACCTGTTTTTGGGATTGTTTTGCTGCATGACGAGAACATTCCTACACTGTGAAGACATCTCTACACCATCACTACAACATGTCCGCATTATGGGGACATTTCTACACCATGTGGATCCTTCTTCACCGCACTGTGAAGACAGTTCTGCACAGNGCAGCCAATCAGAGGGCGGGGACGGCGGCTTCGGCCCGCCCCCCTGCTTTCCTCGGAGCTGTCAATCACAGAGGAATCACAGAGCTGAATGTAAATGCAGCTGCGAGACGATCGGCAGCAAAAACACTGGAAATAATGATATGAATGCGACTGTAGGGCCTCTGATTACATTCATCCACCGATCTAATGATGGAGCTCAGCCTCTGATTGATCTGCTCAGTTAACACATGCAAAGATCACACAGTCGGTGTTTTTCACCACACGTTTTGTTATTTCACAGAATGTCTGTTTTATATTACATTATGTTAAGATAATTAAGCACCAAAACCGAAAGCTGATGCAAATAAAACAGAAAATGATGAAAAAAAAGACAAATGAATCAGAATGAAATGAATAATGAGCACAGACATGCAAAATGACCAAAAAATGGGGCAGAAAGACGACACAGAGACACAAAACAGCCACGATAAGATGAAAAACGACCTTGAGGAAGAACAAAATGACCCAAAAGAGACGTAAAACCATCACAGAGTTTAGAAACCTAGCAGCACAGTGACTAACAAAACCACCAAAAATAGACATAACAACTAGAAATAGACAAAAAANACTTTTATCAGACATTTTATTTGTATTTTTCCTAAAAATCTTGTTGATTTTTTCTAATGTTATTTTTATCTGTTAAACATTTTATTCATACATTATTATATTTTATATTTCTAAACATTTTACTTACATTGGTTATGTAGGATTGTATTATTTGTAATTATTTTTATTTTAGGTTTCTTCTTTTTTCACTCTGTGTTGTTCATATTTGTTGCTAACATTAATAATACTTTTTAGCTAGTTAAGTTTAAAAAAAAAACAATATTTATGCTAGTTATGTAGACTTTTCTAAATATTGGTATTTTTATTTAGGATTTTTCTGACCTTTATTAGATAATTAACTCTATTGTTTTTTGTAGATGAGTAATTATGCAAATTATTTGGCAGCATCCAGCATCACAGTCACATTATGAGATTGTTTTCATATTTTTCTTACATAAATATTTACTGTAAATTAAGATTTTGTTGAACTTTTTTTCCCAGACATTTTACTAAATTGTGTTATTTGGTAAATGAGGAAATATGCACATTATTTATTAACCACGAATATTTGATGTATTATTCGAAAGGGTTCCCACACTGGCAGCATAACTTTGGTCAGAATAAAATAACTCAACAGCAGTTCAACAAATTGAAGTTTGTGCAGTCATGTCTCCTGGATCTGGGCTGGATCCTGTCCCACACCGATCAATAAATCAATACAAACAACAACACAGACGGTATTTATACGGTTTCACTCCATTAAACTACTACATAAAGACTTCGCCCAGCGTTTAACCGTCTTTGTGGGGATGATAATAAACGTTAACGGGGCAGAAAGCAGGAACGACTCGACGCTGACTCTGAGCAGTGAAGCAGGTCGTCGTCTCCGTGACTCAGCGATCAGACACTCGAACCGACCGGCGGCTCGTCAGGACTAAAGGCAGACTCACGTTTCCATGAAGGTCCGTGTTGAGCAGCATCACGGCACAAGTCAGAGTGTGGACGCTGTCTGAGGGACAAAAAGACAGAGACAGACTGGTTAGAGA